CACAAAAAATTTCAATTTTTTTCCTGAAAAAATCAAATTTTTTCCCCAAAAATCAAATTTTTCTTCCCAGAAAAATTTCAAATTTTTTCCCAAAAATTTTCAGATTTTTTCCCACGAAAATGAAATTTTTTCTCCAAAAAATTCCAGTTTTTTACCCAAAACCGCTTTTTTTTCCTAAAACAGAAATGAATTTTCCCCAAATTTTTATTTTTTACCTTAAAATTCCATATTTTTCCCTAAAAAAAATTTCAAGTTTTTTCCCCTCAAAAATTCATTTTTTCCACCCAAAATTCCAATGTTTTCCACCCAAAAATCAATTTCTATTCCCTAAAAAAAATCAGAATTTTCCTTAAAAAATTCAGATTTTTTCCCCAAATATTTCTAATTTTCCCCAAAAAATCTAATTAAAAAATCAGTTTTATCCCTAAAAAAAATCAAAATTTTTTCTTTAAAAATTCGAATTAATGAGGTTTTTTCCATGAAAAATGAATTTTTCAGGTGAATTTTTTTAGGGGGGTTTTGACACCAAAAAAGGTGAAAAAATTGGGAAAAAAAATACCAAAAAATTCAATTTTTTTTTTCTGAAAAAATTTAATTTTTCCCCATAAGAAATCTGATTTTTCAAATGCAATTTTTGGGGGGAATTTTGAGCCAAAAAATTAGGAAAAAATCAAAACATTTCAAATTTTTTCCCCAAAAAATGGAATTTTTTTCCATTAAAAATTCGATTTTTCTGCTGGGAATTTTTTTTTCCCATTAAAAATTTGATTTTCTGCTGGAATATTTTGGAGAATTTTAATGCAAAAAAAAGTGGAAAAAATAGAGAAAAAAATGAAATTTTTTCCCCAACATTTGGATATTTTTTCTTTAAAATTTGATTTTTCACCTGGAATTTTTAGGGAATTTTTTTGGCAAATTTTGGGGGACTTTGATACAAAAAATAGGAGGAAAAATGCAACAAAAATTCAATTTTTTTTTCCCAAAATTTGGATTTTTTTCTCTCAAAATTTTGATTTTTCGCCGGGAATTTTTAGGGAATTTTGGGGTAAATTTTGGGGGATTTTGATACAAAAAATTGTGGTAAAAATTTAACAAAAATTCAAATTTTTTTCCCCCAAAATTTGGAGGTTTTCCCCTAAAAAATCCGAATTTTCCACTTTTGGTTTTTTCCCCTCATTTTTGTTTTTGGGATAATCCCTGAAAAATTATGAAATATTAAAATTACATTTTAAATTTAAATGAAATTAAAATTTTGGAGCCACCTTAATTTATGAATTAATAAAAATGATTTTAAATATCCAAAATTTTTAACCAAAATTCCCGGAATTTTTTGCTGTAAAAATTTGTAATTTTGGGGATTTTTGGGGTGAAAAAATCCTAAAAAAATTCGGAATTTTGGGGAGATTTTTTTGGATTTTTCGGGTGAAAAATCCCCCCCAAAATCGGAATTTTTGAAGAAATATTTTGATTTTTTTGGGGATTTTTTTGGGGATTTTTTGGGAATTTTTGGGATTTTTCCCGGAATTTTTTCGGGATTTGGTGCATGAGGAAAAGCCCCAGGAAATGGCAGAAAAAAAAGATGGAAAAAAGAGGAAAAAAAAGGAAAAAAAAAAGATTAAAAAAATGAAAATAATTGAGAATAAAACAAGGAGGCTGCGGAGTTTTTATTGGGAAATGGGGATTAATTAATTGGGGTTTAATTGGGAATTAATTGGGATTTTATTTGGGTTTTTTTGGGGTTTAATTGGGATTTTATTCGGGTTTTATTGGGATTTAATTAGGATTACTTGGGATTTTGGGGTTGGGAAATCGAGATTTAATTGGAATTTATTGGGATTTAATTGGGGTTTAATTGGGAATTTGGGGTTGGAAAATTGGGAATTAGTTGGGATTTAATTAGGAATTAATTGGGATTTAATTTGGATTTAATTGGAATTTATTAAGATTTATTTGGGGTTTAATTGGGATTTAATTGGGAATTATTTGGGGTTTAATTGAGATTTAATTGGGATTTTATTCGGGTTTTATTGGGAATTAATTGGGGTTTAATTGGGATTTTAGTGGGATTTAATTGGAAATTATTTTGGATTTTATTTGGGTTTTTTTGGGATTTAATTGCGGGTTAATTGGAAATTGGGATTGGAAAATTGGGATTTAATTGGGATTTAATTGGGATTTTCAATTGGGAATTAATTGGATTTATTTGGGATTTTGGGGTTGGAAAATTGGGATTTAATTGGGTTTTAATTGCGATTTAATTGGGATTTAATTGTGAATTTATTGGGGTTTAATTGGGAATTTGGTTGAGGTTTAATTGGGATTTTATTGGAAAATAATTGGGATTTTATTGGGGCTTTATTGGGATTTTATTTGGGCTTTAATAGGATTTATTTGGGGTTTAATTAGGAATTAATTGGGATTAAACTGAGATTGAATTGGGATTTTAATGGGGATTTTAATTGTGAATTAATTGGGATTTATTTGGGATTTTGGGGTTGGAAAATTGGGGTTTAATTGGGCCTTAATTGGGATTTAATTGGGAATTTAATTGGGGCTTAATTGGAATTTGATTGGAAATTAATTGGGATTTTATTCGGGTTTTATTGGGATTTAATTGGAATTTGGGGTTGGAAAATTGGGGTTTAATTGGGGTTTAATTAAGATTAAATTTGGATTTAATCGGGGTTTAATTGGGATTTTTAATTGGGAATTAGGGTTGGAAAATTGGGGTTTAATTTGGAATAATTGGGATTTAATTAAGATTAAATTGGGATTTAATTAGGGTTTAATTGGGATTTAATTAAGATTAAACTGAGATTTAATTGGAAATTAATTGGGAATTTATTCAGGTTTCATTGGGATTTAATTGGGAATTAATTGGGATTTAATTGGGGTTTAATTGGATATTAATTGGGATTTTTTTCAGGTTTAATTGGGATTTAATTGGGATTTAATTGGGGTTTAATTGGGAGTTTGGAGTTGGAAAATTGGGATTTTATTCGGGTTTTATTGGGAGTTTTTTGGGATTTAATTGGGAATTTGGCTGAGATTTAATTGGGTTTTAAACGGGATTTAATTGGGACTTTAATTGGGGTTTAATTGGAATTTTATTGACATTTAATTGAGAATTTGGGGGTGGAAAATGGGGTTTTAATTAGGATTTAATGGGGATATAATTAATTTGGATTTAATTAGGATTGAACTGAGACCCCTCCCCTTCCCCACACCCAGACCACGCCCCCTTTCCTTATGACCACGCCCCCACACCTCATTAATATTCATGACCACGCCCAATTGTCATAACACTTCCCACCCAAAATGGCCGCTCATGGCCCCGCCCCTTTCCCCACACCCTCTTGATTCCCATTGGCCAAGCCATCTGTCAATCATCCCCCAACCCTGCATTCTGATTGGTCTGTGCCAAAACTCGAAATTCACACCTTTTTTGGGCTGGGGGAGGGGCCAGAGGAGGCCACACCTCCTTGTCCAACCCAAGGAGCACTCTGATTGGCTGGAGTATTAAGCCACGCCCACAATAAAAGCCACACCCCTTTGGCTCCCAACGTGGGGCAGCACTGGAGGGGCCGGGGGGGAATTTTGGGATAAATTTGGGAATTTTTGGCAAATTTTGGGAATTTTGGTATCCTGGAGGGAATTTTGGGAATCCTGGGAGGAATTTTGGAATAATTTTGGGAATCTGAAACAGAAATTTGGGATAATTTGGGGAAAATTTTGGGAATTCCAAGTGGGAATTTTGGGATAATTTTGGGATCCTGGGAGGAATTCTGCAATAATTTTGAAAGGAATTTGGGGATAATTTTGGGAATTCTGGGGGAATTTGGGGAATTTGGGGAATCCTGGCAGAAATTTTGGGATCATTTTGGGAATTCCAGGCGGAATTTTGGGACAATTTGGGGAATTTTTGAGAGGAAATTTGGGAATCCCAGCTGGAATTTTGGGATAAATTTGGGGATTATGGGATCCTGGATGGAATTTTGGGAATGCCAGCCAGAATTTCAGGATTTTTCTCCTTTCCCCCCCCAAAAAGGACGACACGAAAACAGCGAATTTTGGGGCCATTTTTTGGCGATTTTCTTGCTATTTTTTCCCAAAAAAAAGCAGGAAAAGCTCCAGGATTTTTGGGAATTTTGGGAATTTTCTGGGATTTCGGGATTTTTTCGGGAATTTCCCCTCAGAGCTCATCCAGGCCGTCATCCCCACAACTTTATTCTCATTTTTACCCCCAAAAAAGAGATGAAAACGGCGAATTCTGGGCCGTATTTTGGCAATTTTTCCCCAAAAAAAGCGGGAAAATTTCCAAGGTTTTTGGGAATTTGGGGAATTTTTGGGAATGTTTGGGAATTTCCCCTCAGAGCTCCTCATCCAGACCACGGTCCCCACAAATTTTTGTAATTTTTCCCCAAAAAAAGACACGAAAACAGCAAATTTTGGGCCATTTTTGGGCGATTTTCTTGCAATTTTTTCCCAAAAAAAGCGGGAAAAGCTCCAGGATTTTTGGGAATTTTTGGGAATTTCGGGAATTTTGGGGGAATTTCCCCTCAGAGCTCATCCAGCCCGTCATCCCCACAACTTTATTCTCATTTTTACCCCAAAAAAAGACACGGAAACAGCGAATTTGGGGCCATTTTTGGGCGATTTTCTTGCGATTTTTTCCCAAAAAAAGCGGGGAAAAGCTCCAGGATTTTTGGGAATTTTCTGGGATTTCGGGAATTTTGGGGGAATTCCCCCTCAGAGCTCGTCCAGGCCGTCGTCCTCGGGCGGGAAGTCGCCGGCCGTGACGTGCTGGGGCCGCACGAAGGCCCCGAATTTGGGGGGACACTCGAAATATCGGCGGCCGTCCACGCTGTGGGGAGATGAGAGATAAGAGATAAGAGATAAGGGGGAGAGAGATAAGAGAGAAAAAAAATAGAACCCTCCCAAACCCCCAGAACCTCCCAAAATGCCCCCAAATCCCTTCAGGGTCTCCCCAAACTCCCCTAAAATCCCTTCAGGATCCCTAAAACCCCTCCCCAAATTCCCCCAGAACCTCCCAAAACGCCCCCAAATCCCTCCAGGACCTCCCCAAATCCCCCTAAAACTCCTCCAGGACCCCCCAGACTCCCCAAAAATCCCCCTAAAAACCCCCCAAACCCCCTCCAGGACCCCCAAAATCCCCTAAAACTCCTCCAGAATCCCCGCCCCCCAAAACCCCACCATGATCCCCTAAACTCCCCCAAAACTCCTCTAAGACCCCCCCAAAAAATTTTCCCTCCCAAACCCCAAATTCTCTCAAAACTCCTCCAGGACCCCCTAAATTCCCCCCAAATCCCCTCCAGGACCCCCCCAAAACTCCCTCAAAACCCATTCAGGACTCCCCAGACCCCTTCAGGACCTCCCCAAAATCCCCCAAATCCCCTCCAGGACCCCCCAAAATCACCTAAAACTCCTCCAGAATCCCCGCCCCCCAAAACCCCACCATGATCCCCTAAATTCCCCCCCAAAACTCCTCTAGGAGCCCCCCAAAACACCCCAAATTTTTCCCCCCAAACTCCAAATTCTCTCAAAACTCCTCCAGGACCCCCTAAATTCCCCCCAAACCCCCTCCAGGACCCCCCCAAAACTCCCTCAAAACCCATTCAGGACTCCCCAGACCCCTTCAGGACCTCCCCAAAATCCCCCAAAACTCCTCCGCGACCCCCTCAAACCCCATCCAGGAGCCTCCAAAAATCCCTCCAGAACTCCCTCAATCCCCCCCAAAATCTCCCCAAATCCCCCCAGGATCCTCCCAAACTCCTCCAGAACTCCCAAAAATCCCCCCTTCCAAAGCCCTTCAAGACCCCCTAAATTTCCCCCAAATCCCTCCAGAACCCCCAAAACTCCTCCAGGACCCCTCGAACCCCCTCAAAATCCCCCAAACCCCTCCAGGACCTCTCAAAACCCCCCAAAATCCCCCCAAACCCCTCCAGGACCCCCCAACATCCCCCTAAACCCATTCAGGAACCCCCAAAATCCCCCCCAAAATGCCCCCAAACCCCTTCAGGACCCCCCCAAAAATCCCCCAAAACCCCTCCAGAACCCCCCAAAATCCATTCAGGACCCCCCAAAATCCCCCCTCACCTTCCATCGTGCTTGCCCAGCGGTTCGTCGTAGCGCACCCCCACCCAAATCCCCGGCTTAAAATCCGTCTCACCTTTGGGGGGGGGAAGAGAGAAAAAAAACCACCAAAAAAAAACCGTGAAAAAAACCACAAAAAACCGTGAAAAAAACCACAAAAACCCCACAAAAAAAAAAAAAAAAAAAAAAGAGAAAAAAACCCCACAAAAAACCGTGACAAAAACCACAAAAAAAACCCACAAAAAAACCCACAAAAAAAACCCCACAAAAACCCCACCAAAACCCACCAAAAAAACCACAAAAAAACCACCAAAAAGCGACAAAAAAACACAAAAAACCCACAGAAAAGGTGACAAAGAGGTGACAAAGAGGTGACAAAGAGGCGACACGCACCCACGAAGGCGATGGCGCCCCTGCGGCAGGGCTGCCCCGGCACCCGGACCTCGCAGCGCGCCCCGAGCGGGAGCGCGGCCGCCGCCGCCGCCTCCAGGTCCCGGCGCTGCTCCCGCTGCCGCTGCCGCTGCTGCTCCCGCTGCCGGTCCCAGCGGCCCCACGAGCGCTGCCGCAGGAACGAGCGCACCGACTCTGCGGGGACACCGGGGGCACAGCAGGGGTGGCGCTTTGGGGACACGCCGGTCACATTCCCGTTCCTGTCCCCAATCCCGCTCCTGATCCCGATTCCGGTTCTGATCCCATCCCTGGTCCTGTTCCCGGTCCCATTCCCGGTCCCAGCAGCCCCAGAATTGCAGGGACTCTGCGGGGACACCGGGGGGACAGCAGGGGTGGCGCTTTGGGGACACGCCGGTCACATTCCCGTTCGTGTCCCAGTCCTGCTCCTGCCCCAATTCCGGTTCCTGGTCTTGTTCCCGTTCCTATTTCCAGTCCTGATCCCATTCCCAGCCCCATTCCCGGTCCCGTTCCCGGTCCCAGCAGCCCCAGGAGTGCAGGAACCCCATGGGGACACCGGGGACATCAGCGGTGGCGCTTTGGGGACACGCTGGTGCCAGTCCCGTTCGTGTCCCAGTCCCGCTCCCGCTCCCATTCTCGGTTCTGTTCCTATTCCTGATCCCATTCCCGGTCCTGTTCCCGGTCCCAGCAGCCCCAGCATCCCCGGGACCCCGTGGGCACACCCAGGGGACATCAGGGGTGGCACTTTGGGGACAGGGACACCCTGGTGTCCCTCCTGGTCCCATTCCTATTCCTATTCCTATTCCTATTCCTAATCCCATTCCTGCTCCCATTCCAGTTCCTGGTCTTGTTCCCATTCCCGATCCTGATCCCGTTCCCGGTCCCAGCAGCCCCAGGAGCTCAGGGACCCCATGGGGACACCCAGGGGACACCAGGGGTGGCACTTTGGGGACAGGGACACGCTGGTCTCGTTCCTGTCCCAGTCCCGCTCCGGGTCCCATTCTTGGTCCTGATCCCATTCCCAGTCCCGGTTCCTGGTCCCAGCAGCCCCAGGATCTCAGGGACACTGTGGGGACACCCAGGGGACACCAGGAGTGGCACTTTGGGGACAGGGACGCCCTGGTCCCGTTCCTATTCCTGATCCCGTTCCGGTTCCTGACCCCATTCCTATTCCGGTTCCTGGTCTCGTTCCCGTTCCCATTCCCAATCTGGATCCCATTCCCGGTCCCAGCAGCCCCAGCATCCCCGGGACCCCATGGGGACACCCAGGGGACATCAGGGGTGGCACTCTGGGGACACGCTAGTCCCAGTCTCGTTCCTGTCCCCAATCCCGCTCCTGCTCCAATTCCGGTTCCTGGTCTTGTTCCCGTTCCTATTCCCGATCCTGATCCCATTCCCGGTCCTGTTCCTATTCCCGGTCCCAGCAGCCCCAGGATCTCAGGGACCCCATGGGGACACCCAGGGGACACCAGGGGTGGCACTTTGGGGACAGGGACCCTGTGGAGACACCCAGGGGACACCAGGGGTGGCACTGTGGGGACAGGGACCCTGTGGAGACATCCAGGGGACACCAGGGGTGGCACTGTGGGGACAGGGACCCTGTAGAGACATCCAGGGGACACCAGGGGTGGCACTGTGGGGACAGGGACCCCATGGGGACACCCAGGGGACATCAGGGGTGGCACTGTGGGGACCGGGACCCTGTGGAGACATCCAGGGGACATCAGGGGTGGCACTGTGGGGACAGGGACGCGCCGTCCTCTTGTCACAGTCGCTCTCGGCCATCTCGTACTTGGTCACTTGGAACGTGTCCCCAACACCCCCAATGTCCCCAACCCTTCCAATGTCCCCAGTGTCCCCAAACCCTCAATGTCCCCTGATGTCCTCGTTGTCTCCAACACCCTCGGTGTCCCCAATGTCCCCAACACCCCCAATGTCCCCAACACCCTCCATTGTCCCAAATATCCCCAACCCCTCAATGTCCCCCATGTCCCCAACACCTCCAATGTCCCCAATGTCCCCAACACTTCCAATGTCCCCAATACTTCCAATGTCCCCAGTGTCCCCAATATCCTCAACATCCCCAATGTCCCCAACCCCTCAATGTCCCCAACCCCTCTAATGTCCCCATTGTCCCCATTGTCCCCAGTGTCCCCAGTGCCACCTGTCCTCTTGTCACAGTCGCTCTCGGCCATCTCGTACTTGGCCGCCTGTGACACGTCCCCAACACCTCCGATGTCCCCAATGTCCCCAAACCCTCCATGTTCCCAAACCCCCATGTCCCTTGATGTCCTCATTGTCCTCAACACCTCCAATGTCCCCAAACCCCAATGTTCCCAACATTCCAATGTCCCCAGTGTCCCCAATGTCCTCAACAGTTCCCAATGTCCCCAACCCCTCATTGTCCCCAGTGTCCCCATTGTCCCCAGTGTCCCCAGTGCCACCTGTCCTCTTGTCGTAGTCGCTCTCGGCCATCTCGTACTTGGCCACCTGGGACACGTCCTCGAACTGCCCGGCCCGGGCCCCGCTCCGGTCTGTCACCTGCAGGGGGTGGCACTGTGTCATTGTCACCTGCAGGGGGTGGCACTGTGTCATTGTCACCTGCGGGGGTGGCACTGTGTCATTGTCACTTAGGGGGGTGGCACTGTGTCATTGTCACCTGTGGGGTGGCACTGTGTCATTGTCACCTGCGGGGTGGCACTGTGTCATTGTCACTTAGGGGGGTGGCACTGTGTCATTGTCACCTGTGGGGTGGCACTGTGTCATTGTCACCTGCAGGGGGTGGCACTGTGTCATTGTCACCTGCGGGGGTGGCACTGTGTCATTGTCACTTAGGGGGGTGGCACTGTGTCATAGTCACCTGTGGGGTGGCACTGTGTCATTGTCACCTGCGGGGTGGCACTGTGTCATTGTCACTTAGGGGGGTGGCACTGTGTCATTGTCACCTGTGGGGTGGCACTGTGTCATTGTCACCTGCGGGGGTGGCACTGTCACCTGCAGGGGGTGGCACTGTGTCATTGTCACTTAGGGGGGTGGCACTGTGTCATTGTCACCTGCAGGGGGTGGCACTGTCACTTAGGGGGTGGCACTGTGTCATTGTCACCTGCGGGGGTGGCATTGTCACCTGTGGGGTGGCACTGTGTCATTGTCACCTGCGGGGGTGGCACTGTCACCTGCAGAGGGTGGCACTGTGTCATTGTCACCTGCGGGGTGGCACTGTGTCACTGTCACTCAGGGGTGGCATTGTCACTTAGGGGGTGGCACTGTGTCATTGTCACCTGCAGGGGTGGCACTGTCACCTGCAGGGGGTGGCACTGTGTCACTGTCACCTGCGGGGGTGGCACTGTGTCATTGTCACTTAGGGGGGTGGCACTGTGTCATTGTCACCTGCAGGGGGTGGCACTGTCACTTAGGGGGTGGCACTGTGTCATTGTCACCTGCGGGGGTGGCATTGTCACCTGTGGGGTGGCACTGTGTCATTGTCACCTGCGGGGGTGGCACTGTGTCATTGTCACTCAGGGGGGTGGCACTGTGTCATTGTCACCTGCGGGGGTGGCACTGTCACTCAATGATGCCACCCCCACCCCGGTGACACCAGGAGGGGACACAGAGGTGCCACGGTGACACAGAGGTGACACGCGCGTGCACGCGGCACCGCCGGTGACACCGGGAGGGCACAGAGGGGACACAAAGGTGACACGGAGGTGACACGGAGGTGACACAGTGACACAGAGGTGACACGGAGGTGACACAGGTGACACGGTGACACAAGTGACACGGAGATGACACGGAGATGACACGGAAGTGACACAGGTGACACAGTGACACAGAGGTGACACGGAGGCGACACAGGTGACACGGTGACACAAGTGACACGGAGATGACACGGAGATGACACAGTGACACAGAGGGGACACAGAGGTGACACAGAGGGGACACGGAGGTGACACGGAGGTGACACAGGTGACACGGAGGTGACACAGAGGTGACACGGAGGTGACACGGGGTTGACACAAAGGTGACACGGAGATGACACAGGTGACACAGAGGTGACACAGAGGTGACACGGTGACATGCACGTGCAGGCAGCCGTCGGTGACACTGGGAGGGCACAGAGGGGACACAGGGACACAGTGACACTGGGAGGGGACACGGAGGGGACACAGAGGTGACACGCACGTGCACGTGGCAGCCGTCGGTGACACCATGAGGGAACAGGGATGGGACATGGTGACACAGAGGTGACACAGAGGTGACACAGGTGACACGGAGGTGACACGGAGGTGACACGGAGGTGACACAGTGATACAGAGATGACACGGAGGTGACACAGGTGACACGGTGACACAAGTGACACGGAGGTGACACGAAGGTGACACAGTGACACAGAGGGGACACAGAGGTGACACAGAGGTGACACACAGGTGACACAGAGGTGACACAAAGGCGACACAGAGGGGACACAGAGGCGACAGGTGACACAGAAGTGACACAGAGGTGACACAGAGGTGACACAAAGGTGACATGGGTGACACAGGTGACATGGGTGACACGGGTGACACGGAGGTGACACAGTGACACAGAGGTGACACAGGTAACACGGTGACACGCACGTGCAGGCGACAGCCGTCGGTGACACCGGGAGGGCACAGAGGGGACACAGAGGTGACACAGAGGTGACACAGAGGGGACACAGAGGTGACACAGGTGACACGGAGGTGACATGGAGGTGACACAGGTGACACAGGTGACACACAAGTGACACGGTGACACGGAGGTGACACGGGTGACACAGAGGTGACACACAGGTGACACAGGTGACACGGTGACACGCACGTGCAGGCGGCAGCCGTCGGTGACACCGGGAGGGCACAAAGGGGACACAGAGGTGACACAGTGACACACAGGTGACACGGAGGTGACACACAAGTGACACGGTGACACAGAGGTGACAGAGGTGACAGAGGTGACACACGGGTGACACAGGTGACACAGGTGACACGGTGACACGCACGTGCAGGCGGCAGCCGTCGGTGACGGGGTAGGAGCCCAGCAGGGCCTCGTCGCTGTCCAGGGTCCCCAGGGGCTCGTCCTCGGCCCCAAAGAGCTCCAGCTCCATGCACGACGCCGGGGAGCCCACCACCAGCTCCAGCTTGCACTGCGGGGACAAAAGGGACACTGGGGACATTGGGGACAGTCACAGTCCAGTGTCCCCAAGGGTTTGTCACTGGCTCCAGCTCCATGCACGACGCCGGGGAGCCCACCACCAGCTCCAGCTTGCACTGCGGGGACAAAAGGGACACTGGGGACATTGGGGACAGTCACAGTCCAGTGTCCCCAAGGGTTTGTCACTGGCTCCAGCTCCATGCACGACGCCGGGGAGCCCACCACCAGCTCCAGCTTGCACTGCGGGGACAAAGGGGACACTGAGAGTGGCACTGGGGACACTGGGAGTGACACTGGGAGTGACAATGGGGACATTGGGGACAGTCACAGTCCAGTGTCCCCAAGGGTTTGTCACTGGCTCCAGCTCCATGCACGACGCCGGGGAGCCCACCACCAGCTCCAGCTTGCACTGCGGGGACAAAGGGGACACTGGGGACACTGGGAGTGACACTGGGAGTGACAATGGGGACATTGGGACAATCCCAGCGCAGTGTCCCCAAGGGTTTGTCACTGGCTCCAGCTCCATGCACGACGCCGGCGAGCCCACCACCAGCTCCAGCTTGCACTGCGGGGACAAAGGGGACACTGGGGACACTGGGGATGGCACTAGGGACATTGGTGATGGCACTGGGAGTGACACTGGGGACATTGGGGACAGTCACAGTCCAGTGTCCCCAAGGGTTTGTCACTGGCTCCAGCTCCATGCACGACGCCGGGGAGCCCACCACCAGCTCCAGCTTGCACTGCGGGGACAAAGGGGACACTGGGGACACTGGGAGTGACACTGGGAGTGACAATGGGGACATTGGGACAATCCCAGCGCAGTGTCCCCAAGGGTTTGTCACTGGCTCCAGCTCCATGCACGACGCCGGCGAGCCCACCACCAGCTCCAGCTTGCACTGCGGGGACAAAGGGGACACTGGGGACACTGGGGATGGCACTAGGGACATTGGTGATGGCACTGGGAGTGACACTGGGGACATTGGGGACAGTCACAGTCCAGTGTCCCCAAGGGTTTGTCACTGGTTCCAGCTCCATGCACGACGCCGGTGAGCCCACCACCAGCTCCAGCTTGCACTGTGGGGACAAAGGGGACACTGGGGACACTGGGAGTGACACTGGGAGTGACAATGGGGACATTGGGACAATCCCAGCGCAGTGTCCCCAAGGGTTTGTCACTGGTTCCAGCTCCATGCACGACGCCGGGGAGCCCACCACCAGCTCCAGCTTGCACTGCGGGGACAAAGGGGACACTGAGAGTGGCACTGGGGACACTGGGAGTGACACTGGGAGTGACAATGGGGACATTGGGGACAGTCACAGTCCAGTGTCCCCAAGGGTTTGTCACTGGCTCCAGCTCCATGCACGACGCCGGGGAGCCCACCACCAGCTCCAGCTTGCACTGCGGGGACAAAGGGGACACTGGGGACACTGGGAGTGACACTGGGAGTGACAATGGGGACATTGGGACAATCCCAGCGCAGTGTCCCCAAGGGTTTGTCACTGGCTCCAGCTCCATGCACGACGCCGGCGAGCCCACCACCAGCTCCAGCTTGCACTGCGGGGACAAAGGGGACACTGGGGACACTGGGGATGGCACTAGGGACATTGGTGATGGCACTGGGAGTGACACTGGGGACATTGGGGACAGTCACAGTCCAGTGTCCCCAAGGGTTTGTCACTGGTTCCAGCTCCATGCACGACGCCGGTGAGCCCACCACCAGCTCCAGCTTGCACTGTGGGGACAAAGGGGACACTGGGGACACTGGGAGTGACACTGGGAGTGACAATGGGGACATTGGGACAATCCCAGCGCAGTGTCCCCAAGGGTTTGTCACTGGTTCCAGCTCCATGCAGGACATGGGGACACCACCACCAGCTCCAGCTTGCACTGCCGGGGACAAAAGGGACACTGGGGACACTGGGGATGGCATTGGGGACACTGGGAGTGGCACTGGGGACATTGGGAGTGACATTGGGAGTGTCCCAGTTCAGTGTCCCCAAGGGTTTATCCTTGTCACCAAACAGCTCCAGGTCTATGGAGGACATGGGGACACCACCACCAGCTCCAGCATGCACTGCCAGGGGACAAAAGGGACACTGGGGACACTGGGAGTGACACTGGGGACATTGGGAGTGACATTGGGAGTGTCACAGTGCAGCGTCCCCAAGGGCTTGGCCTTGTCACCAAACAGCTCCAGGTCTATGGAGGACATGGGGACACCACCAGCAGCTCCAGCTTGCACTGGGAGGGACAAAAGGGACACTGGGGACACCGGGAGTGGCACTGGGGACATTGGGGACACTGGGGGTGGCACTGGCAGTGTCACAGTTCGGTGTCCCCAAGGGTTTATCCTTGTCACCAAACAGCTCCAGGTCTATGGAGGACATGGGGACACCACCACCAGCTCCAGCTTGCACTGGGAGAGACAAAAGGGACACTGGGGACACCGGGAGTGGCACTGGGGACATTGGGGACATTGGGGGTGGCACTGGCAGTGTCACAGTTCGGTGTCCCCAAGGGTTTGTCATTGGTTCCAGCTCCATGCAGGACATGGGGACACCACCAGCAGCTCCCGCTTGCACTGCTGGGGACAAAGGCGACACTGGGAATGACACTGGGGACACTGGGGATGGCATTGGGGACATTGGGAGTGACATTGGCACAGTCCCAGTAACTCCCAGTTTGCACTGGAGGGGACACAGGGGAGTCCCAGTGGTCCCAGTTTGGGATTTTGGGGTCCCTGGTTTGGGGTTCCCAGTTTGGGGTTCCCAGTTTGGGGTTTGGGGGTTCCCAGTTTGGGGTTTGGGGTTCCCAGTCCTGGTTTGGGGGTTCCTGCCTCCCATTCCCTCCCTCCTGGTTCCCGTTCTCCCGCTTCCGTTCCCATTGTCCCATTCCCGGTCTGGTTCCTTTATCCCGGTCCCAGTCCCATTCTCCCGTTCCCGTTATCCCGGTCCCATTCCCATTGCCCATTCCCATTACCCCGGTCCCATTCCCCTTCTCCCGCTCCTGATCCCATTCCCGTTACCCCGGTTCCATTCCCATGACCCCAATCCCATTCCTTCTATCCCAGTCCAGTTCCCATTATCCCGGTCCCATTCCCATTACCCCGGTCCCATTCCCCTTCTCCCGCTCCTGATCCCGTTCCCGTTACCCCGGTTCCATTCCCATGACCCCAATCCCATTCCTTCTATCCCAGTCCAGTTCCCGTTATCCCGGTCCCATTCCCCTTCTCCCGCTCCTGATCCCATTCCCGTTACCCCGGTTCCATTCCCATTACCGCCATTCCCGTTCCTTCTATCCCGGTCCAGTTCCCGTTATCCCGGTCCCATTCCCCTTCTCCCGCTCCTGATCCCGTTCCCGTTACCCCGGTTCCATTCCCATTACCCCAATCCCGTTCCTTCTATCCCGGTCCAGTTCCCGTTATCCCGGTCCCATTCCCGTTATCCCAGTCCTGCTCCCGTAATCCCGGTCCCGTTCCTTCTATCCCGGTCCTGCTCCCATTATCCCGGTCCAGTTCCCATTATCCCAAGCTCAGTCTTGTTCCCATTATCCCGGTCCCATTCCCGTTCCCACCGTCCTGTTCCCGTCATCTCGGTCCCATTCCCGTTACCCCCGGTCCTATTCCCATTATCCCGGTCCAATTCCCATTATCCCGGTCCTGCTTCCGTTATCCCGGTCCCATTCCCGTTCCCACTGTCCCGTTCCCATTATCCCGGTCTGGTTCCCATTCTCCCGGTCCCATTCCCATTATCCCGATCCCATCCCCGTTCTCCCAGTCCCATTCCCATTCCCCCGGTCCCGTTCCCGTTATCCCGGTCCAATTCCCATTATCCCGGTCCCATTCTCCCTCATCCCGCTCCGGTACCTTGAGCTCGGCGATGGTGAGCGCAGGCGAGAAGCGTTTACAGGCACGGAAAGCGTTCAGGGAGCTGCTCACCGCCAGCCACACCGGGCCCGGCGCGGTCCCGCCGCCGTTCATGGCTCCGGTACCGACCGGGCCCTGCCGGTACCGCCCCCACCGGAACCGAACCGGGAGCCCCGGACACGCCCCAGGCTCCTCCGGCAGCTCCCCGAGCCCCTCCGGGAGCCTCCGGGAGCCTCCGGTTCTCCCGGACCGGGAGCCCCGATCGGTTCCGGGCCCGCCCGAACCGGAGCCCCTTCTGGAACCTTCACGGGCCGCCACAGCCGGGACCGGTGAGGGAGCGGCCAATCAGAGCTTGCGGATGCGGTCACGTGATAGAAACCAACCAATAGCTATCGAGAAAAGGCGGGACTAATAGAAAATTACCCAATATACGCATAAAGGGCGGGATAAATGAGGATTGGCCAATAGGAAGACAGAAAGGGTGGGGGAAATTGAAGCTTAGCCAATAAGAAGGCGGGTAGGGCGTGTCTAAGAGTGAAAGGACCAATAAAATAAAGAATGGGCGGGGCACACAGGATTGGCCAATAGAAATAAGCCAATGAGGGTCTAAGGGGTGTGTTAACCAATGAAAAGATAAAAAGCGAATGATTGATGGGCGCTTTGACCAATGAGATGAGGGAGGAAGTGGAAGGGGGCGTGTCCGCGCAGCCATGGACGGGGACGGCGCGTACGAGCCGGGCTTCGTGGGGATCCGCTTCTGCCAGGAATGGTGAGGGAAAACAGCGGGAGAACACCGGGAAAACAGCGGGAATGTCGAAGGGAAAAACACCTGGGAATGCGGGGGGAAACACCGGGAATGTCGGGGGGAAAACACCGGGAACGCGGGGGGAAAACACCGGGAATGCGGGGGGGAAACACCGGGAATGTCGGGGGGGAAACACCGGAAATGCGGGGGGAAACCAGCGGGAATGTCTGGGGGAAAACACCGGGAATGCGGGGGGAAAACACCGGGAATGTCGGGGGGAAAACACTGGGAATGCGGGGGGAAACCAGCGGGAATGTCGGGGGGGAAACACCGGGAATGCGGGGGGAAACCAGCGGGAATGTCGGGGGGGAAAACACCGGGAATGCGGGGGGAAACCAGCGGGAATGTCGGGGGGGAAAACACCGGGAATGCGGGGGGAAACCAGCGGGAATGTCGGGGGGGAAAACACCGGGAATGCGGGGGGAAACCAGCGGGAATGTCGGGGGGAAAACACCGGGAATGCGCCGGGGATGCACCGGGAGAGGCGGGGGGGACAGGCGGGGTGCGGCGGGGAATGGCGGGAATCGTGAGGGGAGCACCGGAAGTCGTGAGGGGGAAACGGGGGTCGTGAGGGGGGAAACGGAGAATTGTGAGGGGGAAATATTGGGAATTTTGAGGGGAAACATCGGGAATTGTGAGGGGTAAGTTTGGGAATTTGGAGGGAGAAAATATCGGGAGTTGCGAGGAGGAAAATTGGGAATTTTGAGGGGGAAAATTGGGAATTTTGTGGTGAAAATTTGGGAATTGTGTGGTGGAAAATTGGGAATTTTATGGGGGGAAATTGAGAATTTTGAGGTGGAAAGTTGAGAATTTTGAGGTGGAAAATTGAGAATTTTGTGGTGGGAAATCGGGAATTTTATGGGGGAAAATTGGGAATTGTGAGGGGAAAAATAGAGGGAGCTGTGAGGGGAAAAAATGGGAATTTTGTGGTGAAAATTTGGGAATTTTGTGGTGATAGGAAATTGGGAATTTTGTGGAGAAAAATTGAGAATTGTGTGGTGGAAAATTGGGAATTTTATGGTGAAAATTTGGGAATTGTGTGGTGGAAAATTTGGAATTGTGTTGTTGAAAAATGGGAATTCTGAGGTAGAAAATGGGGAATTTTATGGGGGTAAAAAAGGGAATTCTAAGGTGAAAAATTGGGAAATTGTGGTGGAGAATTGATAATTTTTATGGTGGAAAAAACGGAATTTTGTGGTGGAAAATTGGGAGTTTTATGGGGAAAATTGGGAATTTTATGGTGAAAATCAGAATTTTATGGTTGAAAAATTGGGAATTTTGTGGTGGAAATTTAGGAATTTTGAGGGAAAAAAATTGGGAATTTTATGGTGAAAATTTGGGAATTTTATGGTGAAAATTTGGGAATTGTGAGGTGGAGATTTGGGAATTTTGTGGTGGAAAATTGGGAGTTTTGTGGTGGAAAAAACGGAATTTTGTGGTTGAAAAATTGGGAATTTTATGGTGAAAAATTGGGAATTTTGTGGTGGAAATTTAGGAATTTTGAGGGGAAAAATTGGGAATTTTGAGGGGAAAATTTGGGAATTGTGTGGTGGAAAATTGGGAATTTTGAGGTGAAAAATTGAGAATTTTATGGTGAAAAAATTGGGAATTTTGAGGTGGAAAATTGGGAATTTTATGGTGAAAATTTGGGAATTGTGTGGTGGAAAATTGGGAATTTTGTTTTTGAAAAATGGGAATTCTGAGATAGAAAATGGGGGAATTTTATGGTGGTAAAAAAGGGAATTCTAAGGTGAAAAATTGGGAATTTTGTGGTGGAGAATTGAGAATTTTATGGTGGAAAAAATGGAATTTTGTGGTGGAAAATTGGGAACTTTATGGTGAAAATCAGAATTTTATGGTTGAAAAATTGGGAATTTTGTGGTGAAAATTGGGAGTTTTGAGGGAAAAAAATTGGGCATTTTATGGTGAAAAACATGGAAATTTTGTGGGGAAGATTGGGAATTTTGTGGGGAAAAATTGGGAATTGTGTGAGGGAAAAAATTGAGAATTTTGAGGTGAAAAATGGGGAATGTTGAGGGGAAAAATTGGGAATTTTATGGTGGAAAATTGGGAATTTTGAGGTGAAAAAATTGAGAATTTTGTGGTGGGAAATTGGGAATTCTGAGGTAAAAAATTGGGAATTTTATGGTCATAAAAAAGGGAATTCTATAGTGAAAAAAAAGGGAATTTAGTGGTGAAAAAATGGGAATTTTGTGGTGAAAAATTGGGAATTTTGTGGTGGAAATTTAGGAATTTTGAGGGGAAAAATTGGGAATTTTGAGGTAAAAAATTGGGAATTTTGAGGGGAAAATTTGGGAATTGTGTGGTGGAAAATTGGGAATTTTGAGGTGAAAAATTGGGAATTGTGTGGTGGAAATTTGGGAATTGTGTGGGGAAAAGGGCGGGAGTTTCCCCCCGGAGCCTCCCAGTAAATCCCAGTTTGCCCAGTAACAACATGCTGTACCCCAAGGAGGACAAGGAGAACCGGATCCTGCTCTACGCCGTGAGTGCTCAAACTGGGACCAGTTTGGGACTGGCACTGGGACTGGGCCCTCCCAGTTCATCCCAGTTCATCCCAGTCCATCCCAGTGCATCCCAGTGCATCCCAGTTCATCCCAGTCCATCCCAGTGCATCCCAGTTCATCCCAGTTCATCCCAGTGCATCCCAGTTCATCCCCAGTGCTCCCAGTGCATCCCAGTTCATCCCAGTCCATCCCAGTGCATCCCAGTGCTCCCCAGTCCATCCCAGTTCATCCCAGTTCATCCCAGTTTATCCCAGTCCATCCCAGTCCCTCCCAGTTCATCGCAGTTTATCCCAGTTCATCCCAGTCCCTCCCAGTTCATCGCAGTTTATCCCAGTTCATCCCAGTCCATCCCAGTTCATCCCAGTCCATCCCAGTGCATCCCAGTTCATCCCAGTTCATCCCAGTTCATCCCAGTGCATCCCAGTTCATCCCAGTCCATCCCAGTGCTCCCCAGTTCATCCCAGTCCATCCCAGTTCATCCCAGTCCATCCCAGTTTATCCCAGTCCATCCCAGTCCCTCCCAGTCCATCCCAGTTTATCCCAGTTCATCCCAGTCCATCCCAGTCCCTCCCAGTCCCTCCCAGTCCGTCTCAGTCCATCCCAGTCCCTCCCAGTCCATCCCAGTCCCTCCCAGTCCATCCCAGTCCATCCCAGTCCCTCCCAGTCCCTCCCAGTCCGTCCCAGTCCGTCCCAGTCCCTCCCAGTCCCTCCCAGTCCGTCCCAGTCCATCCCAGTCCGTCCCAGTCCCTCCCAGTCCCTCCCAGTCCCTCCCAGTCCCTCCCAGTCCGTCCCAGTCCCTCCCAGTCCATCCCAGTCCGTCCCCAGTCCCTCCCAGTCCGTCCCAGTCCATCCCAGTCCCTCCCAGTCCCTCCCAGTCCCTCCCAGTCCATCCCAGTCCCTCCCAGTCCCTCCCAGTCCCTCCCAGTCCCTCCCAGTTCATCCCAGTTCATCCCAGTCCATCCCAGTCCCTCCCAGTCCCTCCCAGTCCCTCCCAGTTCATCCCAGTTCATCCCAGTCCATCCCAGTCCATCCCAGTCCCTCCCAGTCCGTCCCAGTCCCTCCCAGTCCCTCCCAGTCCCTCCCAGTCCGTCCCAGTCCGTCCCAGTCCATCCCAGTCCGTCCCAGTCCCTCCCAGTCCCTCCCAGTCCATCCCAGTTCATCCCAGTCCCTCCCAGTCCGTCCCAGTCCATCCCAGTCCCTCCCAGTGCAGGAACTGCGATTACCAGCAGGAGGCCGACAACAGCTGCATCTACGTCAACAAGATCACGCACGAAGTGGAGTGAGTGGCCAAAAATCCTGAAAATATCCCTGAAACGCTCCTAAAATATTCCCAAAATATCCTCAAAAATATCCCTAAATATTCCCAAAATATTCCCAAAATATCCCTAAAATATTCCCAAAATGTTCCTAAAATATTCCCAAAATATTCCTAAAATATTCTCAAAATATCCCCTAAATATCCCAAAATATCCCTAAAATATCCCTAAAATATTCCTAAAATATTCTTAAAATATTCCTAAAATATCCCTAAAATATTCCCAAAATATTCCTGAAATATCCTCAAAAATATCCCTAAATATCCCCTAAATATCCCTAAAATATCCCTAAAGTATTCCCAAACTATCCCTAAAATATTCCCAAAATATTCCTAAAATATCCCCAAAATATTCCTAAAATACCCTCAAAAATGTCCCTAAAATATTCCCAAAATATCCCCAAAGTATTCGTGAAATATTCCCAAATATTCCTGAAATATCCCTAAAATATTCCCAAATATTCTCAAAATATCCTAAAATATTCTCAAAAATATCCCTAAAATATTCCCAAAATATCCTGAAAGTATCCCCAAAATACCCCTAAAATATCCCCCAAATATTCCTAAAATATCCCCAAAATACCGCCAAAATATTCCCAAAATATCCCCTAAATATCCCAAAATATCCCTAAAATATTCCCAAAATATTCCTAAATTATTCCCAAAATATCCCTAAAATATGCTCAAAAATATCCTTAAATATCTCTAAATATTCCTAAAATATTCCCAAAATATCCCTAAAATATCCCCAAAATATTCCTAAAATATCCTCAAAATATCCCTAAAATATTCAAAAAATAATCCTAAAATATTCCCAAAATATTCCCAAAATATCCTGAAAGTATCCCCAAAATGCCCCTAAAATATTCCTAAAATATCCCCAAAATATTCCTGAAATTTTCCCAAAGTATTCCTGAAATATCTCTAAAATATCCCCCAAATATTTTCAAAATATTCTGAAACATGCTCAAAAATATCTCTAAATTATCCTTAAAATATTCCCAAAATATCCCTAAAATATTCAAAAATAATTCTAAAATATTCCCAAAATATTCCCAAAATATCCTGAAAGTATCCCCAAAATACCCCTAAAATATTTCCAAAATATTCTTAAAATGTTCCCACAATATTCCTGAAATATCCCCAAAATATCCCCCAAATGTTTTCAAAATATCCTGAAATATCCTCAAAAATATTCCTAAAATATTCCCAAAATACTCCTAAAATATTCCTAAAATATCCCTAAAATATTCCTAAAATATTCCCAAAATATTCTCAAAATATCCTAAAATATCCTCAAAAAATGTCCCTAAAATATCCTCAAAAATATCCCTAAAATATTCCCAAAGTATTCCTAAAATATCCCCAAAATATTCCTAAAATATTCCCAAAATATTCCTAAAATATTCCCAAATTATTCCTGAAATATCTCTAAAATATCCCCCAAAAATTTTCAAAATATCCTAAAATATTCTCAAAAATATCCCTAAAATATTCCCAAAATATCCTGAAAGTATCCCCAAAATACCCCTAAAATATCCCCCAAATATTCCTAAAATATCCCCAAAATACCCCTAAAATATTCCTGAAATTTTCCCGAAGTATTCCTGAAATATCTCTAAAATATCCCCCAAATATTCCCAAAATATTCCTAAACTATTCCTAAAATATCTTCTAAGTATCCCTAAAATACCCCCAAAATATTCCTAAATTATCCCCAAAATATCCCCAAAATATTCCAAAAATATTCCTAAAATATTCCTAAAATATCCCTAAAATATTCCTAAAATATTCCTAAAACATTCCTAAAATATTCCCAAAATATTCTCAAAATATCCTAAAATATCCTCAAAAATATCCCTAAAATATCCTCAAAAATATCCCTAAAATATTCCCAAAGTATTCCTAAAATATCCCCAAAATATTCCTAAAATATCCCTAAAATATTCCCAAAATGTTCCTGAAATATCCCTAAAATATCCCCCAAATATTCTCAAAATATCCTAAAATATTCTCAAAAATATCCCTAAAATATTCCCCAAAATATCCTGAAAGTATCCCCAAAATACCCCTAAAATATTCCCAAAATATCCCTAAAATATTCCCCAAAATATTCCTAAATTATTCCCAAAATATCCCTAAAATGTGCTCAAAAATATCCTTAAATATCTCTAAATATTCCTAAAATATTCCCAAAATATCCCTAAAATATCCCTAAAATATCCCCAAAATATTCCTAAAATATTCCCAAAATATTCCCTAAATATTCTCAAAAATATCTCTAAAATATTCTCAAAATATCCTAAAATATCCTCAAAAATATCCCTAAAATATTCCCAAAATATCCTCAAAAATATCCCTAAAACATCCCCAAAATCTTCCTAAAATATCCCTAAAATATTCTTAAAATATTCCTAAAATATCCCTAAAATATTCCCAAAATATTCCTAAAATATCCCCCAAATATTCCTAAAATATTCTTAAAATATCCCCAAAATTTTCCCAAAATATCTCTAAAATATCCCCAAAATATTCCTAAAATATTCCCAAAATTTCCCCTTAATATCCCAAAATATTCCTGAAATATCCCTGAAATATCCCCCAAATATTCCCTAAAATATTCCTAAAATATTCCCAAAATATTCCTAAAATATTCAAAAATATTTCCAATTCTGGGTGGATTTTTGTGGGAATTTTGGGTGGATTTTGGGGAATTTTTTGGAGATCTTTGGGGAATTTTTAGGGAATTTTTGGTGGATTTTTGGGAAATTTTGGGGCCATTTTGGGTGGATTTTTTGGGAATTTTTGGGAGAATTTTGGGTGTATATTTTTGGGAATTCTTGGGTAGTTTGGGGGCATTCTGGGTGGATTTTTGAGAAATTTTGGAGAATTTTTAGTGAATTTTCCTGGAATTCTGGGTCGATTTCTTGAGATTTTTGGGGACTTCGGAGAGAATTTTTGGAGAATTTTGGGCGGATTTTTGGGAATTCTGGGTGGATTTTTATGTGGATTTTTGTGGTAATTTTGGGCGGATTTTTCTGGAATTTTCAGTAATTTTGGGGGGGAATATTTAGGGAATTTTTGGAGAATTTTTTGGAATTCTGGGTGGATTTTGGGGGGAATTTTGGGGCAATTTTGGGGAATTCTGGGTGGATTTTGGGGGGAATTTTGGGGCAATTTTGGGGAATTCTGGGTGGATTTTTGAGTATTTTTTGTGGAATTTTTTGGGGATTTTTGGTGCATTTGAGCAGAATTCCCAACCCTCCCATCATGGAAGGATTTTAGGAATTCTGGGTGGATTTTGAGGGAATTTTGGGCGGATTTTTCTGGAATTTTCAGTGATTTTGGGGGGGAATATTTAGGGAATTTTTGGAGAATTTTTAGGGAATTTTGGGTGGATTTTTGTGTGGATTTTGGGGGAATTTTGGGTGGATTTTGGGGGAATTTTGGGTGGATTTTTCTGGAATTTTCAGTAATTTTTTGGGGGGGAATATTTAGGGAATTTTTGGAGAATTTTTAGGGAATTTTGGGTGGATTTTTTTTGAAATTTCTTGGAATTTTGGGAGGAATTTGGGGGCAATTTTGGGGAATTCTGGGTGGATTTTTGAGGAATTTTTGTGGAATTTTTTTTGGATTTTGGTGCATTTGAGCAGAATTCCCAAACCCTCCCATCATGGAAGGATTTTAGGGAATTCTGGGTGTATTTTTTGGGAATTTTGGGTGGATTTTTCTGGAATTTTCAGTAATTTTGGGGCGGAATATTTAGGGAATTTTTGGAGAATTTTTAGGGAATTCTGGGTGGATTTTTGTGTGGATTTTTGGGGAATTCTGGGTGGATTTTGGGGGAATTCTGGGTGGATTTTTTTGGAATTTTCAGTAATTTTTGGGGGGGAATATTTAGGGAATTTTTGGAGAATTTTTAGGGAATTTTGGGTGGATTTTTGTGTGGATTTTTGGGGAATTCTGGGTGGATTTTTTGGGAATTTTGGGTGGATTTTTCTGGAATTTTCAGTAATTTTGGGGGGGAATATTTAGGGAATCTTCAGAGAATTTTTAGGGAATTTTGGGTGGATTTTTGTGTGGATTTTTGGGGAATTCTGGGTGGATTTTGGGGGAATTTTGGGTGGATTTTTTTTGAAATTTCTTGGGAATTTTGGGAGGAATTTTGGGGCAATTTTGGGGAATTCTGGGTGGATTTTTGAGGAATTTTTGTGGAATTTTTTGGATTTTGGGTTCATTTGAGCAGAATTCCCAAACCCTCCCATCATGGAAGGATTTTAGGGAATTCTGGGTGGATTTTGGGGGAATTTTGGGCGGATTTTTCTGAAATTTTCAGTGATTTTGGGGGGGAATATTTAGGGAATTTTTGGAGAATTTTTAGGGAATTTTGGGTGGATTTTTGGGTGGATTTTTCTGGAATTTTCAGTAATTTTGGGGGGGAATATTTAGGGAATTTTCAGAGAATTTTTAGGGAATTTTGGGTGGATTTTTTTTGAAATTTCTTGGGAATTTTGGGAGGAATTTTGGGGCAATTTTGGGGAATTCTGGGTGGATTTTTGGGAATTTTTGTGGAATTTTTTGGGGATTTTGGTGCATTTGAGCAGAATTCCCAAATCCTCCCATCATGGAAGGATTTTAGGGAATTCTGGGTGGATTTTGAGGGAATTTTGGGCGGATTTTTCTGGAATTTTCAGTAATTTTGGGGGGGAATATTTAGGAATTTTTGGAGAATTTTTAGGAAATTTTTGGAGAATTTTTTGGGAATTTTGGGTGGATTTTTATGTGGATTTTTGGGGAATTCTGGGTGAATTTTTCTGGAATTTTCAGTGATTTTGGGGGGGAATATTTAGGGAATTTTTGGAGAATTTTTAGGAAATTTTTGGAGAATTTTTTGGGAATTCTGGGTGGATTTTGGGGGGAATTTTGGGGCAATTTTGGGGAATTCTGGGTGGATTTTTGTGTGG